AAGGAGCATGTGTTTACTTGGATATAGAAAGAAACCATCACAAATTTCTGTTTATTTTGTACTTCGTATAAAATTTCTAGATGTGTGACATTACAAAGCTGTACAATACATTTTATCAACAAGTAGAATTGCTGGAAAGCATTAAAATTCTTGATTCAATGTAGGATATTAGAGCTGTGCTGATGGTGTGACAGTAATGGGTTATTGCTGTGGAATATTGTCATGATATTTCTTCCTCTGTATCACATCTACTTAAATTTTAAACAAGGCTTGGCCTTTTGAGCATTGGTGGCTAGTTAAATACTTATAGTATGAATTGTATGTTAGATGTGAAATCTTGTATTTGCAACGGCTTTAATAACTACTGTGGATTCTTTGTAGTGCAATTATATGTAGTGTTCTGTGCTCATGGAAGCGTGTTGCCTCTCTGAGTTTTATATGTTTGTGACTTATCCTTTCAGTACAATACAAAGGATAGTTCTGTAAGACTTGCTTATGAACCTCAACCACGGCCAAAAGCAATAGCTTCCTTCTCTGGAGAAACAATTGTTAAAGTTGCATGTGGAACAAATCATTCTGGTGAGATTTAATTTGTTTTCTACAATTAGTACTTGCTCTGCTTTGGTTGTATGGTGTTATTATTTAAAGTTTCTTCTGTGATGCAGTGGCTGTGGATTCCAATGGCTATGTATACACGTGAGTATCTCCAACTGTTCGCTTTCTGTGGCCTGCCTTTCTGAATAACAATTGTTCAATATTGTTCTATAGTGTGTGTTGTGGCTTCTAATGGCTTGTGTAGCTTTTTTTTTGCAGCTGGGGCTATGGTGGTTATGGAAGGTCTGTATGCTATTTTGATCTCTTTTAATTTTATTTATTTAGTTTTTCTTATGAAAATAGCCGCATAACAATGAATTTTGAGTTCTTTTTTTTTTGTTGTGTTTTCTGCTCTTAATGTCTCGAGTATTTAGTTCTTTATGTGGAATTTGCTTGTATATTGAAGAAATTGTTATCTATAATAGATTGGGACACCGGGAACAGAAGGATGAGTGGTCTCCACGACGTTTAGATGTGTTTACGAGGCATAATGTTCTACCTTCTGATGCAATAGTTTCAGCAGGTGGTGTCAGTTCGGCATGTACTGCTGGTATGGCTCTGATTCACCCTTCAGCTGAGTTAATTACTTATTTCTGTGGTCTCTTGTGTGTATGGTGTTTCTCCCTTTTTATAGGCCTTATCTCACTGTTTGTGTTGTAAATCCTCAAAATTGGTGTTTCCTTTCTCATATCATTGCTTTGATCATGGTGACTTGATGAGAGGAAAATGCCTAGTATCATTAATTATGCGATTGATTGCTTGTAGTTTTGAGTATGAGGTTTCTTAAACACCCTGGAGACTAAGCTCCTATTTTTCATGTTTTTGACCTCTCTCTCTCTCTCTCTCTCTCCTTTGTTTAAACTACAAGCAGAATGCAATTACTGGGTGAAATATACCCAATGGTAATGGCTTTAACTTTTTGCCTGACCTCCAATTTTGATTTTGCGGATTTTATGTTCTTTTGGGATTCTAAGGCATCATTCCTAGCAAGTAACTGTTACTGTCTTACAAGTGGTTTCTCTTAAGGCGGATTGGTTTTCTTTGTCTACTTGTATTGATTTTGTTTGTTGATTGCCGAGTTTTCATTTGATTAATTTAACTCTGTATGTTGAATTTTTTATGGATATTTCTTTTTGTTTTTTAGCTGGTGGTCAATTATACATGTGGGGAAAAATGAAGAATACAGGTGATGATTGGATGTATCCAAAGCCAGTTATGGATCTAAGGTAGTCTGTCCATTATTTTTTTTACTAGTATTTGCTTTACTGTCTCATTTTATGATTTGGCAATAAAATGAAAATTATATTCTTTATTGTCTAATTGCTGAAGATAAGCTGCTAATTTAGATAATTAGCCTTTTACAATTGATATGATACATTTCTAATCGGCCAAGCTTCCAAGTTCTGGACTTTTGTGAGGTGGACATGATTTAATGTCTACTTCCTCCATTTATTTTAGTTGTACCGTGCTGACTTTGGGCACTATTTACGTCTTCATTTATTAATTTTAGATAAGAAAGAATAAAGGAATATGAGGTTTTGTTAGATTTGCCTTGATATGTATATTCATTGTATCAATTTTTTATTATTTTACGTATACATAACTAAAGCTATTAATGGTCAAAGCCATGCATTGGCAAATGTTCCAAGTCAACAGTGTAAAACTATACAACAAAAAAAAAAAAAAAAAAAACTAAGTATGAAATAGTGCAAATTAGCAGGAACTTAATTTACATCTAATAGTAAAAGCCCACAATTTGCCTTGAGCCATTCATTGTAGGGGAAATAGGACCTCACCCTTACCTTTCTGGAATTTTTTTCCCTGAGATTTTGTTTCGTACTTTGAGGCTTTGAGCTCTTTGTATGAATATTATATAACTTAAAAAAATATATCAATCTATTTTTGTTTTAGCGCTGTCCATTCCACCTTTCAGACCCTTCCTGAAAATCAAAGTTTCCTGCCTTGTATAAAATAGTTCTTTGGGCTCCTGTATATAAAAGAGATTAATAGTAAACTTTCTAGAAGTCCCTAGAAGATTTTTTTTTTTTTTCCTGGGCTAGGTGATGATTCAAGTTAGCAGTGTTAGTCAAGCCTAGATGGTTCTTCCATGAGTTAGATTGTTAGTGATCTTTTCTTCTGTGCATAAATGAACTTAGCTTATGTCATTGGTTTCATATCCTGTTTATTATATTTCTCATTACATTTTCTTGAAGTTTCAGAGAACATCTGCTGTGATAATTATCCACAGAAGTTACAATTATTCAAGAAAAATCCCAAATACTCGTGTATAATTATCCCTCTTTTACTCTCCTCATAAATGTTGTTGAGATTTTCTGCCTGCACCTTCCTTCATCTTTTTGTGTGGCTGGAACATGAGGCAGATGTACCTGTTCATGCTGTGCACTTTCATTACCTTTATCTTCCCCCACTTGTCCACTTATGATACTCCACAAGTTTATTTTTTAGAAGCATTCTATTTGGTCTGTTTATTGGTAATTATTGTCAGTATAGGCTGCGTATTCTTTGCCTCTTGTTATAGTTGAAAAGTGTTGGTATATCATCTTGTTATATTCATATATTTGCAGTGGCTGGAATATGCGATGTATGAATTCTGGTCAAATGTTCCATTATGTTGGTGCCGATTCGTCATGTATAAGCTGGGGTCATGCACAGAATGGAGAATTGGGTTATGGACCCAACGGGCAGAAGTACACCTCGTTTCTCTCTTGTGGATTAGAGTTATAATTTCTTTTTGCAAAGAGGTTGCTGATCTGTTTACTCTTTTTACTAGATCTTCAGCTAATCCCAAGAAGGTGGAAATCCTCGAGGGCATGCATGTTATCAGGTTGAAGTTATATGCAACTCATCAGTTGTATACTTGTATTTATTTTGCAATGGATATTGAGCAATTTTAACGCCAAATTATTGTGTTTATAGTGTTGCATGTGGATTCGCACATGCCATGGTGGTGGTTGATCGAACAGATGTTGGTGATCGTCTTGATCAGGTATATACTTGCTGTCCATAATGCTTTTTTTCATATTATATGAAGCATGTATCAATATTTTACCATTACCAATTGGCTTGGTATGTTTTCCAAAGATTAAGTTAACTCAATATTACCTAAGAAGCAAAGAGAAAGAAAACAATGGAATTCGATGGCTAGTTGTTTGCCTCATTGCCTCTTGCCCTTTTCTTTTATTAGTAGTCGCACTTTCTTTCTGTATTATAGTCTTCTAGTTAGGAAAGATCCAATTGACCTCTGATACCCATATTTTTTTTATTTTTTTTTCATATATGCTGCGTTTGGCCCAAAGAAAATAGTGAAGTATGGAGATGATACCCATATATATATATATATTTTTTTTTTCATAAGGAAAAAAAAATTGTAGCTGCATTAATGAAGTATGGAGATCATTTTTTCATTGTTCAGATAACTATTTTCAACAAAGTAAATAGTGGAAATCGGATTTCTCTAATACGAAGTATGATGTACCTCTAAATCAAATCCAACTTCAATTTGTTTATCCATAAGGTTCCTTGTGTTCTACAGTTATTGGGTTTGACTGATTATTATTTTTTTATTTTACGCTGATTTTTTTTGACTGTTACCTCTGAGGTCCTGATGCAAGTTTAAGCTGACTGTAAGCATTGGTGCTAGTTTTAACATCTTTGGTTTTGTGACAGCTTGATGTTCATGATGGAAAAGCATCCGGAGAAGGTATGTAGCAACACATCTCATTTACTTTGTGCTTTGTCATGTGGTGGTGTTTTATGCAAGTAATTGACATATATCTGATCTACAAAGCGGATTGAATTATGTAGTTACTGAGGTCGAAACACCTGTAACCTCTGCCAAAAAACCTACCAAGAAAAGCCCTGCTGACAACTCCAAGAAGAGAAAGAAGTCAAAGGACTTATCTGAGTCCGAAGAGGAGGAAGAGCAAGATAGTGATGATGGCAGTGATGATCAAAGTGAAGAAGAAATGGAAAACGGACACATGGATAGGAGGCAACGGGGTGGGAAAGCTGGGGGTAGAGGCCGTGGTAGGCCTAGCACGAAAAGTCCAGGTGAGACTAAAAGCAGTGGCAGAGGCCGTGGTCGCCCTAAAGGGTCAAGAGGGAAGGCTCGCAAGTGAAGTCAAAGTGAGGTGTTGAATTTTAATTTCCCGCCTAAACGAGCGGAAATTTTGTCTAAATGTGTAGAGGTGTACTACTTAGGCCTTTGGACCTGTTGACTATTCATTTTTCCCATTTAAAACAAGAAGGAAAAGTGAGGAAGAGGAAGGCTAGGTTCTTACTTAGTGAGAGTTTAATTGTTTAGTGCTAACATTATGTCACGGGAAATGATGCTTTGTGAGGATTTGGTTTGTACTTTTATAATTTAAAGGAAATTTAATCTCTTTTATTGCTCTGTTTGTTGATGATAAATCCTAGCTCGCTTAAATTGCCAAGTGATGAAGTGACTAATACAAGATACAGGCAATTAATATGTTCTGAAAATTATAATGGACCTCAAGCTAAGGATTTCAAATTACACTTCTAACTATCGGAGAACTGTAAGCATATAAGAGTGTATACATCATGTGATATTTTTATTCCATTGCTCCGATTTAGTTGTCACAATGTCACATCATGTATAGTGATCTTAGGAGTGAACTAAGATTTCTCACAATCTTTACAGTAACAAACATGGTAATACATCTTCATGCAATCTTCAACACATTGAAAATTCAATGCTATTGATGTAGCATCTGTTGCAGGCCAATGAAATTTGTAGCACTAAGACACAAGGCTTTTTTCTTATGAGCAGTGATACCAGGTAAAGTATCCATGCCAATATCTTCCTTCTTCATTGAAGCAGGCAATTCCCAGTCAAAGAAACACAGCAAATTCGCAAGTGCTAGTTCAATTGTAGTAACTCCTAGCAGCATACCAGGGCAACCTCTTCGCCCTCCTCCAAATGGTATTAGCTTAAAATCTTGTCCTTTGTAATCAATATGATTAGGACTTCCAAGAAATCTTTCAGGAAGAAAAGTTTCTGGGTTATCCCAGCTTTCAGGGTCCCTTCCGATAGCCACAGCATTGACAAAAACTAAAGTTCCCTGATCAATTTGGTATCCTCCTAAGGTGCATTTTTGCATAGTTTGTCTAGGAACCAAGAGCGGACTAGGTGGATGTAGTCTAAATGTTTCTTTAACAACCGCCTTCAGATAAATGAGATGATGAAGCTGGTCTTCTTGTATGAAAGTCGCTCTACATTCTTGCTCTTTAATCAGTTTTCTGACCTCTTCTTGCACTTTCTTCATGACATGTGGGTTCTTCATTAGTTCTGTCATCGTCCAAACTACAGTGGCTGCATTTGTATCTGTTCCTGCCACAAATATGTTCTGCACAGAGCGAAAGGAAAAACAAATATTTTGAGCTGCATATCAGTAGTACTGAATTTTAACAGATGTTTTACTGATATCTTTTATGCCTTTGAAGTCAAGTAGCCTAAGATCAGGCCTAAAATCATTTTCTGTCTATGATAAGAATTGGTAGCATAACATTTTTCTTTATAGATTTTATATGATTCTCTTCCTTTGATCCATTAACCGGAGAGAATCCTCTTCTAGAAAACAAGGCGCCTATTCCAATAGCTTTTTACGATTATTTACTGCCTAATAATCCTGAACACTCTGTTACATCTAACAAGCAACCACAAAACAGTGCTTCAGATTTGATGTGTCATGGTTTCGGGTCTCATTTGTGACACTTTCAAATAACTCGTAAAATCTCTGAATTACTAATAATCTTGAACATGGATCCAACTAGAGACATGCTGTACGACATCAGACAGATGAAAATTGAAGAACATTAAGCAATATAAAGAGCATATAACTATCTAAAATCATGTCAAAGTATGTAGGAAGCATTTAAGCTAGTTTAAGATATTGGCAATTACCATAAGTAATGCTTTGATATGATCCAACGTAAGATCAAATGGCACCTTGTGTTCTTCGAGAAGTTGAAGTAATACATCGACAATATCCTGTTGTTGCTCTGATTTTTGTTTATGTGAGTCAAGACGCGTACTTATAATTTCTTGACAAAACTCATCTAACTCCCAAAATACTTTCTCAAGTTTGCTTGAAGCTCCATTTATCTTGTCAACCCAACCCATGTAAGGCAAATAATCCGAAAAGAAGAAGGCTGTCAACATGGCTTGAGTCTCATGAAGTAGGCCTTGGAATCTACTCGTCGAAAATTCATTAGATCTTTCATCATCTCTATTTCCCTTGTGAAAACAAATCCTACATATTATCGAGCTTGCCAGAGACATTAACAATTCACTCAAATCCACGAGCTTAGACTCCGAGGAGAGGGAAGAAATGATAGACATCATTCGACAAACTTCCTCTTCTCGAATTGAAGAAAATGATTGTACTCTCTTGGAACTAAAGAGATGGACGACACAAATTTTCCTCATTTCCCTCCAATATTCATTATAGGGTGAAAAAGCCAAATCAATACCATTGTACGACAATTTTTGTTGGCCAACAAAAGTTGGCCTACTACAAAACACATGATCTTGTGTTTTTAGCACTTCTTTGGCCAATTTTGGTGAAGAAACTACAATTGTTGGTACAAAGCCTAGTTTCAAGTATACTAAGGGGCCGTAAATTTTGGAAAGTTTAAAGAAGTATAAGTGAGTTTTTATGGGATCGAATTGGTGGAGGTTGCCAAGGAAGGGGAGCCCTTTTGGGCCTGGAGGCCGAGGATCTAACCACCGCGATTTCCCTCCATTCTTTGAGGATTTTGTTGCAAGAAAGTGGAGAAGAGAAATGGCTGCAAGAAACAATGCTAGTAGAAACATGGTTGGTTGTAAGTTTATTTGTGATTGACTGATTGATGGTCTGGACTTTAAGCACCTTTTTTTTGCATATAAATTAGTGGGACTTTAAAGGGCTAATTAAGATGATAATTAGAAATCCACCAAGATTTTGTCACCTCAATTTGATTTTGAATTACAACTACTTCGTATTTAAGGTTTGCTTGTTTATAGGAAGTAGATGATTGTTGAATTGAAGTTGAACTGTTGAATCAATTGAATGTGATGTGAAGGACCACCAAAAAATTATACCAAGTATATCACAAAGCATGCATATATTGTAAAAATAATGGATGAAATTGGTTAAATTTTGATGATTTTGTAGCTATCCTTCATGTTGTTTCCATCTACTAGTATTTCAACTAACCCCACAAAACTCTCCCCAAAAGAGTGAACGATAGTTTACAAGTGAAGTGATAGCTATGAGATTCCGAGTATTAATTAAAAAGCGAGAATTATATCCAAAACAATATATCGAAGAGTTATAACAAAACAAGAAAAAAGTAGGTCTTATTTACAATTAGTGTACAGTGTACTGACGAGTTTAATTTGCAATTCGACTACCTTACCTAGGCATTGTACAACGTCATTAGTTATTCAATCAAGTCGTGATTTAATGATACTAATCAAGGGCAATATTCTTGTTTAACACATTTATAAAACGAAAATAAAAACATTTGCATAGTGCTACAATCAATTACAGTTAACTAACTCAACAATAGTGTTCTCTTAATTCAAATCAAACTAACACTTGAATCAAATAACAAACGAAAGAATCAAACCCCCACCTCTCCTAAACACACACACCATGTATGACTAGAACCTCAACATCAATCTAACACTGACTAAAAATACATTTTATTATTCAAATACTAAGTACTATTATGAAGACATATTATGCACTAAAGAAAATCAAAGAAAGGCCTTAACTACATACTATATAAAGAATCAAATCGAATCGAATTGAGTGTAGGCTCTGCTCTTGCGAGTTAATGACAGCTTCCTTAAGGACCTGAACCGGCTTGGTGTTGGCCTGTCTTGGCTTCGATCATGCTCACCAGTCGCAACAAGAAACGGTTCTCTAAAGAGTTCAAGTGCCGCGGGTCGCAGAGATGCAGGAGCAACACACTTTTGAATGAACTGCAAAAGTTGAGGGTCATAGTCATCCACTTTACTCAGTGCAACAGGGAAAAAACCAGCCTCAACTGCTGCAATAACATCATTTAAGTAATCTAACCCCTCGTATTCGCAGTATATCTTGTCATAAGTCACCATTTGTAGCACAGTCATCCCAAAAGAATGTATGTCAACCAACTCATTATACATTTTACCCCTGTAAATCTCTGGTGCCATGTACTCTGGTGTACCGCCACTCGCGTTGTTAACATACTCGGCTTCTTTATACACCGCGACACCAAAACCTGCTAACTTAACCGTGCCTGAGTCCCCATTAACCAGGATATTAGTAACATTAACATCATGGTGTATGATGTTCTGGTTGTGTAGATAACGTAACGCGGTTAGAATCTGTCAACACCAATTCTTGATTGCAGCATTACAGTGAAAAAGATCATGTTTCAGAATGTAGTCCCTCAGATTACCAGAAGAACAAAGATCAGTAATAATATTAATGAATTTTCTTCCATCATACCAGTAAGTGTAACATTTCAGTATATTCTGATGGTTTAATGACTTCATCATTTCAGCTTCTTGACAACGCTTGTTTGATTCCGCTTCAGTAATTTCTCCGACTTCGATTTTGCTCCAAGCAATTTTGATACCATTGTATGTGTCTAACCCTTCGTATACTCTCTTCGAGGTTCCGATTCCAACCACTTTGTTGAACCTTATGAACTGCCTTGTTGGATCCCTCTCTAAATCGTTGTGATTGTTTACGATTGTCTCGAATTCACTTTCGTATCGAGAAGACGAAGCCATTGTTAATCAAGAAAGAAAGAAGCAGAGAAAGATTTCTTACGAGTTTTGTTGATGAAACTAGTTTTGTAGAAAAAAACAGAGGATTTCTTATGATTTGGGTTGATGAAAGTAAACAGAATACTCGGGAAATCTTTGATAAATGATTTATTTGATGGTTGATTGATACTTACAGGTGTAATTGTAAGTAGTTAGTTGTAATACAAGACAGATATTATCTTCTGCGGTCGGTTAGTTATTAGTTAGTTGTGGCCGTTATTTGAGTCTGTTATAAGGAAACAGAATACCCTTTTCTTGATTTTTATTTAAAACTTTTCTTTAATTAATTTATTGTATTGAACTTTTACTTACAAGTAAGATTTTTTTTTTTTTAATTGATTAGAATTTCATCCTTATCTCAAAAGATGAAATTAAACGAAATTGAAATAATTAAATAATATTAACCCCCATTTTGGATACATATTATGGAGTAATTAAAGTGGTTTAAACCACTAAAGGTTTATGAGAAAATCAGGTATGACCGTATGATATTTGCGTTACTAAAAATTTAATTACTACTGCTAACATTTTATTTATTGCATTAATTAGGCTTTTTTTAAACTTTGTGTTTTTGTATCATTTTGTTCACTCCATTCCCATTTGTTTTAGAAAATGTAGGTTCAAATTTTCATTTATTTTGAGAAATGTTGGTTTATAACGATGGGATAAAATAAGAGATGGGAAAACGAGTTTTAAAAATTACGTAGTGAGGTTTGGATTCGCGTTTGGGTTAATTTATGTGAAGAAACTTATGGGTCGTCTAATGCTAATTGACTACTTTTGGTAAGTTGATCAATCTCAATTCTACGAGTACTTATTATCTACTGCTCAGCTTAGTCTAGGTCAACTTTATGATTTAAATTGAATTGTTTATTTTTTTTTTTTTTTTTTTTTTTTTTTTTTTTTTTTAATTCTTAATTATGACTATCAGAGGTATGCCTTGATTTGAAGGTTGACTCTAATTAATTCATTAACATTTTGGTGAGAGGATTTGGTCTGTATTTTTATAAATTGAAAAGAAAATTGATCTCTTTCATTGTTCTGTTTGATGATGATAAATATTGAACATAAGCTCACCTTGTGCCAATTAACTAATACTAGTAAAATACAACGATCAAGCTAAAGTATACAACTACACGTCTAAACTATAGAGTTGTAAGCTTATGTGTATTTTACGTCATTTAATACTCTATTTCCTATGCTCAGATTTAGTTGTCACTTTGATGGTCAGATATCATGTTTAAATACATCCTTAAGGAAATGAACAACAAACACGGTAATGATATTTTTCTCCAAAAATTTGAGATAAATTACATTTTCATCATGCAACCTTCAAAATATATAGAAAACCAACGTTATTTATGTTACATCTATTGCAGGCCAATGAAATTTGTAGCACTAAGACACAGGGCTTTTTTCTTATGGGCAGTGATACCAGGTAAAGTATCCATGTCAATATCTTCCTTCTTTATTGAAGCAGGCAATTCCCAGTCAAAGAAACACAGCAAATTCGCAAGTGCTAGTTCAATTGTAGTAACTCCTAGCACCATACCGGGGCAACCTCTTCGCCCTGCTCCAAATGGTATCAGCTCGAAATCTTGTCCTTTGTAATCAATAGGATTAGGACTTCCAAGAAATCTTTCAGGAAGAAAAGTTTCTGGGTTATCCCAGCTTTCAGGGTCCCTTCCGATAGCCCAAGCATTGATAAAGACTAAAGTCCCCTGATCGATTTGGTACCCTCCTAAGGTGCACTCTTGCATAGTTTGCCTAGGAACCAAGAGCGGACTTGGTGGGTGTAGTCTAAATGTTTCTTTAACAACCGCCTTCAGATAAATGAGATGATGAAGTTGTTCTTCTTGTATGAATGTTGCACTACATTCTTGGTCTTTAATCAGTTTTCTGACCTCTTCTTGTACTTTCTTCATGACATGTGGGTTCTTCATTAATTCTGTCATCGCCCAAACTACTGTGGCTGCACTTGTATCCGTTCCTGCAACAAATATGTTCTGCAGAGAGTGAAAAGAAAAAATTATTGTGCTATCTTCTTTGAGATATACATCAATTATACTTAATTTTATCAGATGTGTGACTCAAATTTCATATGCAGTTGAAGTCTAGGATAAAATCAGGCACATCTAAGCTGAAGTAAAACAAGGTACCTATTCCTATAGTCCTTTTCGATTATTTGCTGCCTAATAATTCTGTTTTCGTATACTCTGACACTTTTATATGCTATCCACAAAACAATGCTTCAGATTTGATGTGTCGTGGTTTTGGGTTTCATGTGTGTCGCTGTTAATTAATTCATAAAATCTCTGAATGAATTAGTACAGACATCAGACATCAGACTAAAGATATGTTATACAGACATCAGACAGATGAAAATTGAAGACTCTTTAGCAATATAATGAGCATATAGCAGTCTAAAATCATGCCAAAGTAAAATATGAAGCTGATTAAGATATTGGCAATTACCATTAGTACTGCTTTAATATGATCCAATGTAAGATCAAATGGCACCTTGTTTTCTTTGCGAAGCTGAAGTAAAACATCGATAATATCCTGTTGTTGCTCTGATTTTTGCTTATGTGAGTCAAGATGTGTAGTGATGATTTCTTGATAAAACTCATCTAACTGCCTAAAAACTCTCTCAAGTTTACTTGAAGCTCCATTTATCTTGTCAATCCAACCCATGTAAGGCAAATAATCTGAAAAGAAGAAGGCTGTCAACACGGCTTGAGTCTCTTGAAGTAGGCCTTGAAATCTACTCGTCGAAAATTCATAAGATCTTTCATCAGCTTTGTAGCTTTTGCCAAAACCAATCTTACATATTATCGAGCTTGAAAGAGACATTATCAATGCACTCAAATCCACGAGCTTAGACTCCGAGGATAAGGAAGAAATGATACGCATCATTCGACAAACTTCCTCTTCTCGAATTGAAGAAAATGATTGTACTCTTTTGGAGCTAAATAAATGGATGACACAAATTTTCCTCATTTCCCTCCAATATTCATTGTAGGGTGCAAACGCCAAATCGAAGCCATCGTATGACAATTTTTGTTGGCCAACAAAAGTTGGCCTACTACAAAACACATGATCTTGTGTTTTTAACACTTCTTTGGCCAATTTTGGTGAAGAAACTACAATTGTTGGTACAAAGCCTAGTTTCAAGTATACTAGGGGGCCGTAAATATTGGAAAGTTCAAAGAAGTATAAGTGAGTTTTTATGGGATCAAATTGGTGGAGGTTGCCGAGGAAGGGGAGCCCTTTTGGGCCAGGAGGCCGAGTAACTAACCACTGTGAATTCCCTCCATTCTTTGAGGATTTTGTGGCAAGAAAGAAGAGAAGTGAGATTGCTAAAAGAAACAATAGTAGTAGAAACATGAAGGCTGTATGTTTACTTTGTGCTAGATTAAAAAACTAGTTTGTGTGGATGGGAGAACAAAGAGTATTTGATAATATCTGAGCAACCATTCATGAAGAAGAATTAGGAATCTTTTTGTAGGATAAAAAAAAACCCGGCTATTTCACCAAATGCCACTGAGCAATTGCGAAATTAACCAAATACCATCTGACTTTTCAAAATTCACCAAATGCCACCGAGTTTTAACAAAATTCACCGAGTGCCATTAATGACTGACATCCGTTAATTGACCGTTAGTGGACCCCACCACTTGCCACGTGTCACTTTCTGATTAGTCCGTTTTTTTTTAAAAAAATTAAATAAAAAAAAATTACAAAAATTCCAAAAACAAACCAAAAATATTAAAAATAATAATAATAAAAAAAAACCCAAACCTCAAACCCCAGCCACCAGCCCACCTGCACCGGCGTGCCGGCGGCCGCCGGCCCCCCTCCCTTTCCCCTCCTCTTCCCCCGTCGCGCCACCCACCCTAGCCTAAACCCTTGGTACCACCGCAATCAGCCCGCAACACCACCACATCCAGTCCACCGCATTCAACCCTTGCTTCCTCCGCACTGCCGCCGGCCCCCCTCCCTTTCCCCTCCTCTTCCCTCGTCGCGACCCACCAGAGCTTTAAACACAAAATCCAAAACCCTACCCCCCTTCCTCCACCTCCCCGAACAATTCAAATCAAATTGTTTGAACAACACTGATCGATCGGCTGCCATGACTCACTTTTTACCTTCATCTTCTCTGCCACTCATCTCTTTCTCTCGGTTTCTTCATCTAGGCAATTCAGCAACCCAATTTTCTCACTCCAATTCTTATCACTCCAATTTTCTCGGTTTCAATTCGATATTGGGATGAATAAAACAACAACCTGAGAATTTAGGTTTCAATGGTCGAAATTTTAACAATTGATCCTAATATCAACTCAAATTTTAATCCCTTAGAATTTTAATTTTCACAAAACCCAAATAGCTTGAAAACATATTTTCAACATTATGCCTAAGAAATTACAGAGATAATAGAATAAAAATAAAGTAAGAATTAAAAAAAAAAAAACGAGGAGAAATGGGGGAAGTTGTTTGAGAATGTTGAGGAAGACGAAAATAATCCCAGCTAACTAGCTAAGAAGAATCTTGTAGAAGATTTCGCTTCAACGGAGAAAATGGAGTGCGCTTTAATGGAGGGACGACGACAGGGGGTGGTGGCGGCTAGGGTTTTGGGGTGGGCAGGGGGCTTGACGGCAGGAGGTGGTGGCTGGCCACCTATGATGAGTTCCTTTTTTTTTTTTTTTTTTTTTAAGTTTGGAATTTTTGTAATTTTTTTTATTTAATTTTATTTTTTTAAAAACGGACCAATCAGAAAGTGATACGTGGTAAGTGATGGGGTCAACTAACGGTCAACTAACGGCTGTCAGTCATTAATGGCACTCGGTGAATTTTGTTAAAACTCGGTGGCATTTGGTGAATTTTGAAAAGTCGGATGACATTTGGTGAATTTCGCAATTGCTCAGTGGCATTTGGTGAAATAGCCGAAAAATAAAAATAAAATA